CCCTTAGACACGTGTCCACATTGCGAGTGGATTTTGGAGAGGAGATGGTGTGAACAAGAGCTGTGTTCTGCATCCCCTGTCAGGGAAGGGCTGCAGCTCAGGGATGGTGGGAAGTCTTAATGTATAAAAGCAGTGAGTGGTGTGCAGTGTTATGTGTGTGTGCAGCTCTCAAGCAGTGAGCAAGGAGACACCTGTGCATCTTGAACTGTTGTACTTTCCAGGTGACCTCTGCTCCTCCCCTTGTCCGCAGTGCCAATCTGCTGGCTGCTTATGCACCCCTGGGCCCCCCAGCCCCTGAAAAGGCAGGAACTCCTTTCTGTTTCCTCAGCATGGTGTGCTCTGCCTGTCGATGAGTGTGCTGCAGATGTGGCTGGGATCTGCTGCGAGAGCTCCCAGTGTCATTAATGCAGATGATCTCCTGTAGTGCATGGTTTGCTGCTGATAGAGCACCTGACTGAACTCGAGTAATGGCAGATCTCATGGGTGACAGGTGGGAATTCGAAGGGCCTTTGCATGAGTTTGTGGATGCTGTGCTGGGTGTCCCCTCTAAACAGCAGGCATCGCTTGCAGGAGGTGGAAACAAACCTCTTTCAGATGGAGACACATTTGTGAGCTGTCAAGAAGGCTGGATCCTCAGGCCAGGTAGAAATTGTAGTGTCCACAGGTGGTTGTACCTGCAGTGAGGTCAGCTGTGGCCTGTGGGAGTGTGCGGTCCCCACTGGCAGAGGCAAAGAGCTCTGTTGCTTTGTGTTGCAGCCATCTAATCTCCTTTCTCTCCAGATGGTATTTACCATTTGTGCATGGCATGTGTGCCTGCCCTGCCTGGTGGCCACAAGCCCCTGGTTAGTGTGAGGGAGGATATGGTTCTCTTCACACGGTGCAGCTCTTTTTCTCCTGCTGTGCTGTGCAGGAAGAGAGGCTGCAAGTTCTGGGGATGGCTGGGAGGAGAGAGGAGGGGAAAAAGCTGTGTGTTAGGCTCTGCTGGGAGTCATGCTGCATGCAAAGTAAGGCTGATGAGGAGTGTGTGTGTGTAAAAAAAGCTGAAATTATGTATGCCATGAGAATTTTTATACAAACAACTAGAAACCAGGGTTTGTCATTGAGTAAACTAGTTGACTGCAAATACAACCAGCTGCAGGATGGAGAATAGGGCTCCTGGTGTGGCTGGAGGGGCGGGTTCTGCCAAGGCTGTGAAGCACTGCAGTGTGTCCCTGCTCCCTGCTGCGCTGGCAGCGGGCTGGTGAGTTCACAAGTGTAGATTTTGTGTCTATTTTAATCTGTCCTCTTAATAAGAGAAAACGTGCTCCAGGCCAGTATGTCAGGGAAGGACTTCTTTGGGTTTATCTAAATCTGACAGTAGCTATTGCAGTGCAAAGTCAGCTAAAATAATCTGTATTTCATTATTGCAGTTTGCCTGCAAAGGGGGCTTTGCTGGTCAAAGAGAGCATATACTTTGTTTGCAAGTTATGAACCTAAGTAAAGCATTTCTCCCCCTCTTCTGGGAAGCCTTTCCAAAGCCATGTGTGCTGTGGTGGTGCTTCAGAAACAGCCTCCGAGACAAGTACCTTGATCCCTTCCCCACACCCTTGTGCATTGCCAGGGGTCTGGCAGTAGATGTGGCACTGCAGTCCTGTCTGCTGGGGCTCTGCCGTGGGTGCGCTGCCCTCTCTGTAGGTCAACAGTAGGCGTCTCGGAGGGGGTCATTTCCTTCCTGCTTCCACTCGCTCAGCTCAGGCGTGGGATGGGACCCGCCTGGTGGGGGCAAAGGAGGCTCTGCAAAAGGTGGTGCAAAGGGAGGGAGGGGAAGGGAAAAGATAGGGAAAGCTGAAAGGGGGGTGAGATGAGGAAGAGAGGAGAGGGATCTCCTCAGAGAGGAGAGAGTGACAACTGAGAGGATGCAAAAGCATAGAAATAGAGGTCAAGGGGAAGGAGCCCTCTGGATGGGGCCTCTGCTTTATCAGCTGGCCAGGAACTGATGAGGTAAAGGGAGATTTTTGGCAGAAGCTTTGTGTACTGACTGTTTGGGACCTGCTGGTGATTCTGTGGTATGCACAGTGAAGGAAAATCAAGTCCTCCGCTCGCAGCTCTGCTGTTACACATCTCAAGGTCTCTGCATGTCTCTGCATGGGCAAAATACTTGTGTGTACTTGATCCAGGCTCTCACTGGTAGCTGTCTTTTAGAAATCTTGTCTGTCTCTACAGAGGAGCCATTGGCAGCAAGAGCAGGCATTTCTCATATAAGCACAGCAGCTCTCGCCTTACAGTCTTTGTTTTCTCTTCCCTGCAGTTCATGGCGCAGGGGAAAGCCGGGAGCAGCTCCCCCCCATCCACAGCCTCCAAACCTGGCAGTCAGCTGGACACCATGCTGGGAAGTCTGCAGTCTGACCTGAACAAACTGGGTGTTGCTACCGTTGCCAAAGGTGTCTGTGGAGCCTGCAAGAAGCCTATTGCTGGGCAGGTGGGTTGAAGGTGCTGCCTCACTGCTGAGTCTTGGGCTGCAGCTGGGAGTAATGGGGAGGGCTGTTTCGTGAGGCTGGAGAGACTGGAGATGCTGGAGAAACTGAAGTACTCTATTTATCCACTGGCTAGGTACGCTGTAAGCTCCTCCAGTGACCTCTACCCTGCCCTTGAGGGACTGCCCTCTCCTGAGATGATAGGTAATTCAGTTTTCATGCTACCCCAGTCCAGGGCTCACTCGAGTAGTAGAACTTGTCATTCTTGTTGACCTCCAGCTGGTATCTTGTCTTGTGGTCTAGGGGAGAGGGAGGTAGAGTTGTCCTTCATAATTTGTCTTTCCAACAGGTAGTTACAGCCATGGGGAAAACCTGGCATCCTGAGCACTTCGTCTGCACCCACTGCCAGGAGGAGATCGGGTCACGCAACTTCTTTGAGCGGGATGGCCAGCCCTACTGCGAGAAGGACTATCACAACCTCTTCTCCCCTCGCTGCTACTACTGCAATGGGCCAATCCTTGATGTGAGTTCCTCTGGGGGATTAAGGGTGCTGGCAAGGTGCTGCAGTGTTCAAAACTCCACTTCACCCATGTGTCTTGGGTGGAAGATTTTGTTTGGGGACTTCTGTTTTCCCTTTGCCCTGGCTCTGAAAGGGACACAACTTGGCCCTGTCAAATTCTTGCACTAGTGAGAGGAGTTCCTTCAGAACCCACATCCCATCGTTCCAGTAACGATTCCTCAGCACTTGTCTGTTGGTAGCCTGTAGTAGCAGGCACCAGTGTGAGTCCTGAGAGCTGGACGGGGCCCTGTATAAGGAAGGAAGCAGCGCGTAAGATCCTTTTAGGGTAAAAAAAAGTGTGCAGTGAGGAAAGCCTGAATGAGCCAGAGGTGGGGGAGAATTGACTCAGCTTTTTAAAGGACAATCTATTTTATGCACGCTCTTGCCAATACCAACATTAATGTGTTGTTCCCTGCCACCCAGCCCCCCTTACCTCCAAGCTGAAGCCATCATTTACATGACTTGCACTTTGTCTTCTTCTGAACAGAAAGTGGTGACGGCTTTGGACAGGACATGGCACCCTGAACACTTTTTCTGTGCCCAGTGTGGAGCTTTCTTTGGACCTGAAGGTATTGCTGGTTTATGTAATCTCCCTGAACTGCAGACAAGTGTGTAAGGCAGAGGGACGGGAGAGGATTAGGGGACAGCCTGAGGGATAACCAGGGAACTACTGCAGATGGAAATTCCAAGGGATGTAGCTGTTTATGGGAGAAGGATGTAGCAGTGATCTGCTTTCCTCCCTGGAGAGGTAGAGTATGCATGTGTGCACATGGGACAGGAAGGGCAGCAGACCAGGGAACAGTTACCTGCTGTGTCTGGGTGTTAGCAGAGGGAAGGGTGATCCTACCCAAGCTGGATACCCCGCAGAGCTTGGCTGGTAAAGATCAGGTGCTGATACTTTTGCCTCTCTTCTCCGTTGGCAGGATTTCATGAGAAGGATGGCAAAGCCTATTGTCGCAAAGACTACTTTGACATGTTTGCTCCCAAGTGTGGAGGCTGTGCCCGGGCTATCCTGGAAAATTACATCTCTGCCTTGAACACCCTGTGGCACCCTGAATGCTTTGTCTGTCGGGTAAGAAAACCAAGGTCTTTTGCTGTTGCTGTACGACCCCTCTCTTTTCCACCCTGCATGCATCTGGTCCCTTATCAGGAAGAGGCGTCTGTGGGGTAGTGAAGGGCAGCCAGCCACACAAGATAAAAACATGTCAGCAGCCAAACACCTTCTCGGTCCTCTGCCTGTTTACATTATACTTTCTAGCTGCTTTGCTCTTTCTGCTCCCAGCTGCAATTATGGGCTTCTGCAGCAGCTCACAGATAAACAGGGACATTTTCTGTGACCTTTAAATAATTATAAGCTAAGCTTCTCTCTAAGCACTTGCCTCAGCAATCAGATTTTGAGATTCTTCCTCCCATGCTCCATCTGACAATGTAAACTAATGAGACTGACCTTGTTCAGGCAAACATGCAAGTCAGTGAAATAGTGGCAGGCTCCATACAACAGGCATAATAAACAGGAATACTGCAGATTAAATGCTTGGCACTCTCTCAGAGAGCCTTGCAAATATTAACTCTTACAGGCCCCAAGAGATGACCAAAATCAGATAGTGTTTCCTAGAGTGGGAAAGAAAGGCAGAGACCAGAACAAGCAGCAGAACCACAAGCTGCTGGTGCCTGGTGTGATGATGCTCAGAGCAGACGGTCACCATGCCGCTGGGACAGGACTGCCCAGAACTGTCTGTGGCTCCCAGAGTGGTGTGCTGGGAGTGGGGCCAGAAGGTGGCAGTCCTGGCTGCGTGGGGCTGGGGAGGGCTGTGCCTTTTTGTGCAGAGACTGAGCCTCCTGTCAAGCAGTTCTGCTTTCCTTTCCCCCTCCTGCCACACTGCCTCTATTAGTGGGGCCAGCACTGATGTCTTCCAGGACATGAGGTGGGATTTTCTCCCTGTTTTTGCTAAAGCAGAGCAGGCTTTTCAACTGTTCTGTTGACAGGGAGGAGACTGTTGAACAGATTGTCAGCATCAGAAAAGTCTTGGACTTGCTGCAGGGAAACTGCATTTGTCCCAGTATCACAAGTGCTTGGCTGTCCGTGACTCTACATGCTGTTTGCTGGACTGCTGTGTACACGTTGGGGTCCAGCTGTGTGTCCTCCCTGGGGAAGAGGATGGTGCTGTAGCTGAGCAAAACCAGGATTCTGGAAATTCAGCTTCTCAGGGCCTTGCTGCTGATCTGTTCAGTAAATCCAGCAGAACCTTGACTGTCCCTAACACCTTGCTGCCTCAGTTTCCCATTTGCTCAAGGAAGGGAGTCGCCCCAGTCTTGCAGGGAGAGTGGGAGCTTCTGTTGCAGATTCTGAAGTGCAGCATCCTCAGCTGCCTGCCACTGAGGGAAGAGAGGGGCTCTGGATGCTAATAAGCACGTAGCTGGTGCATCCTCTTCTTGACTATTCAAAATCATGAGCGCTGTGGAACAAACAGCAGTTTCTGCCAGTAGTGATGTGTGTGTACCTGGTGGAGATGTCTCAGGGTGGACAATCCTGCACTAAGTGTACCTGCATAATGCCAACTATTCTAGAGAGATCACTTACGAAAATGGACTGTGCCTGGTTTGTCTCAGCTGGAGCAAATCCCTCATTCATCAGAATTTTGCTGCATGGACGTCTGTGTTGGTCCCTGCTTCTGCCCTCCCCTGCCATTGTGGGGAAGGTGAAGTGAGGCTAACAAAAAAAAAAGGCGGGGAAAGATGCTGCAATGTTTCCCATCTCAGGGGAAGGAGTGTTCTCCTTTCTTCTGGCTGGACACATCTGGTAGCTCATCTGCCTTATTTTCTTTGTAGAAGTGAAACCAGCTGGGGGTAGGAGCGTGGTTAATTCTCTTGCCTGTGGCTGTATCTGTCCATATATCGGCCTTTCCTTGGTGACTCTCCTTGAGGGTCAGACTCTGGCTCTTTGCACAACTGGGTGATGCTGAAAGGCAGTGCCACAGAGCAGAGGTTTGTGGAGCTGGCTGCATCCCCGGCTTCTTACACAATCTGTCCCCTTCTGCTTTGTCCTCCTGCAGGAATGTTTCACACCATTCATCAATGGCAGCTTCTTTGAGCATGATGGGCAGCCCTACTGCGAGGTGCATT